ACAGGAAGATTTGATTAGTTTTTATCTTGTTGAGAATATGTAGTGTTCTAGGTATTTGAAAACTGACAATCCATGTACAATCTTTAGTCATTGTTTCAGTTAAAAGAAAAAAAAAGATCTAAGGCGCATTTGATACTGAGGAAACTTCTCTTCCTAGTAAGAACATTTGTTTGATTTAGACCCTCCATATCTACACAGGGTAACAATAACCTTACAATCACAAACCCACTACTGTATTTTATTTTTCCACTGGTCAATATAAGTGGTCCATTCTTTGATGAGAATCTGTGGAGTAAGCCTATGTATTATACCCTGACCCATGACTTTGAGGCCCTGGCCATTTGCTGATGCAAAGAAACTCATAAACATTGTATTTTATGCAGTAGGCTGAGTGGAATAGCAAAAGCAAATGATGTCATGGTGTTCCTCTTTTGAAAGAAGCATAAGACTCTCCAGAACTGGATTTATGCTCAAGAATAGCAATCATCCAAAGTAGGGCAGAAAATGCATTCCAGAAACTAAGGTACCCAGGCCCAATACAACACATGTGTTTAAAGTCAACTAAGAGTCTAGAGAGAAATGAAAGTGCAAAAGCTGAGAAGATTGGTGTAATTTTCAAAAATTCTTGTAAAACTAGCTAGGAAATGACAAAAAGCAGGGTGGAATTGTTTAGTAGATGACTGACATGGTCAGATTCTACTTTTCAGGAAATTGGTAGTCTTTATGGAGGCTTACTTGAGGTAGGACCAAAGCAATCTATGGCAAAAGGACTAGTTCAGGTGATAAGTGATAAGGGTCTTTACCAGCCAGAGACAGGTAGATAGAGCTAACGCTAGATCTGTTAGGTAGAATGGTAGCCAGTTTGATGTGTGTTGTGAAGATGAGTCAGATAATGGGAGTTATGGTTCCTTTTATGGAGTCATGATTAATGCTGTTGAACAACAGAGAAAATATGGAAAGATAATTTTGAGGGGAAATAATGAGTGTGTTTGGTATATGGTAAATTTGAGCTATCAAAGTGAAAGTAGCTATATTTAGGTTGAACACACATACACAAATAAGTGCTTTATACTGGGGCTTGTTCAACACTGAGACAAAGGGCATTTTTCTGAAGCTACTGTTTGAGAGAGAGAGAGAGAGAGAGAGGCCACAAAATAGACTCACGAAAATAAACCTGAAATCCATGAGTGAAATTTAAAACTGAAAAGAGATTAGGGTAGACCCCTGATTAAAAATAGCTCTTCCCACTTCTCTCCCAAATACCTTTCAAATCTCACACAGTCAAACTTTCCCTTCAACCTGTTGAAAGTATTTTAAGCCTTGCCTGCTCTTTAGTTCCAGTTTCCTAATCAACATGCTTAGATAATAGAAGAAACTTTTTGCCAAGAAAAACTTCCCATTTTTTCCTTAAAATATTTGAAGCATTTCACAACTTGAACCAAACAGAGATTTCCTGGGAGTCACGTTCTGAAAATAAATGCATGATCAGTGTAGTCCAAGTCCTCCAAGTGGTGCTGGGGCTATTTTTAGAGAGAAGGTGAAGATGAGAAGCCAGAGACATGGTTGATGGAGCAGAGAGCTGGGAGCAGGAAGGAGCAGGCTGTGGCTCCAAGAGACCTCAGGCCCTTGAGAAGAAACAAGACAGCATATTCCTTCAGGCATTGTTTTCCATGTATCACTGCCTTTGGAGGCTTTGCATAATTACTATTTTTTTTGTTATCTAAGTTAATTCACCTTTCAAGCAAACATATTTATAGGAAACAGGCAATATCAGTTTTGACAATGGAGATCTGCATCATTTATTATGAATACTGCAGAGGATGGGGGTGGTGTTCTTCAAAGTAATAAGTTTTCATTAAAAAACAATTGCATTCTAGCTAGATACTGTTGCTTGCCTATGGCTATGAACCGAGATCTGCACTCTCTTGCAAAGAAGTGGGATAAGCAAGTATTAGAAAGTTTTTGCAGACATTGTAGCTCCCATCTCAGATTTTCCCCACTGGGTATCTAGGAGGATTGCAATAAATCTGAAAAGAGATCAACTTTCTCAGGAGATAATTCCTTTTTGTTTAATCTTGGATACCACAAATGACATTTCCCCAATGCTTTAACTATCTTGTCCTAGAATTAACACTAAGGAGAGATAAAGGAGAGTGACTGGGGACTATGCACACTGGAATCAGCCTAAGGCATGGAACTCCTGCCCATCCTCTTCCTCTGGACCCTATAACAATCAAAACTCAAAAGAGGCCATTCTCCCTGCTCTAAAGAATTCATGGAATCTTTAGGTGTTACTGTTGGTGCTTGCTCCTTAGTGATATGAGGGCTATCAAAGTGATCTAGAATAAGAAGAAAGCCAAGTTTGATGGTAGAGGGACAGCCAGAAGTTTCCTCTTGAAGCAAAAGAATGAGTTGGATGGAACTGACAGCCCTATATGTCTCAATGAAAACAAGTAATGGCCACAGCTTTTGGCTGCTGGGGCCACTTAGCAAATCATATGTGCTGCTAACCTAGCAGCAACATCTCCAGAGAAGAAGACCCAGCAGGCAATCCATCAGGCGGTCATGCACTTTATAAACGGTGATGTGCACTGGGTCTATCCATCATCAGGCAGAAAGACCAACGCTTAACAAGGCCTGAGGATGAGTGTTTCACATCACTTATTCATTAGTTTGTAACATCTGACTTTCCAGGAGACAACATAGGGCTTGAAATCATTAGAAATGTTAGAAAGGAAAGAAAACCCTTACCTCCCCACTGTTACAGTGATGGGTATGATGATGTGTTGATCTCTTTGCTTTCTTCAGATCAATTGCCTGTTTCTTCACAATGGCTTAGACACAAGAATGTAGATGCTGTCAGAGGGAACAGTCTGGTTTTGAATTGTATGAGGGGTGGATGCATATACTGCCTGTAATTCTCGGAAAGCTGGGAAGGTGTGTGCATGAAGGTTTGCTAACCAGCTAGGGGTGTAAGTTAATTTAGAATGTTTACTTGAGATGTTTGTAGTAGTAAGTAGTAGGAAAATGCAAACATCCTCAGACATATTGGAAGGTCATAGTTTAGTCAAACATTGCTACTTTTAATTCAGTTTGGAGCATAAGAACATGGGAACTGAAAAGGGCCCTGGGGACCATCTAATTAAAGACCTAACTTTTCAGATGAAGAAACTCAGAGGCCAAAAATGATTTGCCTAAGGCCAGGCCATGAAACTCCCAGTAAACTACAAAATAAGCACTGGTGCTTTTCAGTTGCATTGTATAAATAAAAAGTCACCTTAAAAGGAAAATATATCATTTGGCTTCTAATGAAAAGAATCTGTCCACAATTTAAATGAAGGTTAGTTTAAATTAATTCTTGTGTATGATGAATAGTGTTTTTTTGCCCTCCCTACCTATCTAGACAGTTAATAATTCTTGTGCTAATTAATGATTAGGACATTTCCTTAACATATGAGATGTAGTAAAAGAAGGAGCAAAAAAGGAAAGTAATTGATCAGACTGCCTACTTAAACTCATCAATGCCACAAACCTTTTCCAAGGGTTTCCCTTTCTAAAGGACATTTTCTTTTTTTTTAAAAAGATTTATTTATTTATGCATACAGAACTGGGGTACAGGCCAGAGATGCAGGGGCAGTGAGAGGATTCACCAAAGAAAGAGTGGAAAGCAGAATAGGCAGATTGAGAAGAACAGCAGATGAAACAGGAGAGGTCTGCTGTGCCATTGTGCCACCAGGGAGGGCACCTAAAGGACATTTTCTTTAGCAGTCTGAAACTTCTGTTATTTCATAAAATTATCTTATTCTGTGGTTCCTAGCTTGGAGGAATTGGCAATTCAATGTTAAAATACTGAAGTAGAGAGGTCTACATATAGGGGCTTCCTGACTTCTAGGCCCTCATTCCTTGATAGAATGAAATTTCAAATTCTGCCAGAGAAAATTATTACTATTTTTTAAAGACTCGGGCAACCCAATTAGGCTTGAGTTTGCAGTTGAGTTGCTTTCTTATCTGAGAGAGAAAAGTAATATAGAAAGCAAAACTACATACTTCTGTCAAGTAAAAGTTAGATGCCATCCACTGAAGTGACTTTTGATGTTTTCCACCAATCTTCTGAAAGTGGCCTTCCGGATAAGGAGGCACTCATCTTTCCAACAATAACAATAATAGATCCTTGGGTTTACACAGAGGTTTTCAGTTATAAGTGGCATGCACATATACCATGCACATATACATTTTTTTTTATTTTTTTTTTTTGCCTCTCATGTCAGCTCCGCTGGGACCCCCATACTCTCAATAACAAAAATGAGCCCCAGACAAATCAGCACACTAATAGATTTGGGGATTTTGACTCCAAGTTTAGCGCTTTCACCACTCTATGATATTTTCCTTATATTACTTATAAAAATGCACTTTATTGCCACAAGCTTATCCCCTTTGGAAGGAAATGATGAACCTAGAAATAAACACAAAGTGCTTAACACAGTTCTTGACATAATGTACTTGCTGAGCATGTGATTGCTACTGTTGAGGAAGAAGCAATGTTTTTGAAAATCAGAATCACCAAATTTGTGATCAGAAAGAACTGGACTGGATTCCTGTGTCTTGCCTCTTTTAGTCTCTGGAAATTTTTTTTTTTTTTTTTATGTGCCAGGCCAAATGGCTTAAAGACAGGGATATTAACATTACTTCATAAAGTAAAACTGAAGTGAGATACAGATGTTCATGCAGACGTAGTATTGTGCCTGCATTTAATTAAGTGTAGGGATGATTACCTCAAAAGGGTTTTGCTCATAGATCTTACTGCAAGGAAACAAAGTACTGTCTGCCTTGAAACCAGATGTTCCCATTTCAAAGTTAAACATTGTTTTTTAAGCCCAGACTTTCACAGACCTTCTATCTTTGCCTTCCTCTTGACTTTCTGCCGCTAAGGGAGTTTATGAGAATGTCTTATGGACCCTGCAAATTCCATGCTCTGTAGAGCTTCAATTGAGGCCAAGTACCTGTATATGATGCATGCCGTGTTCTGGCAGGTGCTGCAATTGTTGAGATCTTGGCCAGTTCGATAAAAGTTGCGCCTGCAAAATAGAGCATTTGCTGGGTAAATGCATGTGAGAAGCCATGAGATTCATGCATTCTGCGTGTTCTTCTAGCTCAGCAGTGTCCTTCTCATTGGTAGCAACACCCTGAAGGTGCATGACTGTTACAAATAAAGAAACAAGAAGCCTATGTTCTTAGAACCTCACATTTCTATAAAGATTTAAACATTTTCAGATCTGAGGGTTTTTAGTGCTAATAATAGTCTTGTGAGATGAGTCAGTTATTCTTACCTCCATGTGATAGATAGGGAAACAGGGACTTTGTAAATGAGCAGAAGGGAGCTTGTTAAAATCACTGACCTCTTAGTGCAATGCATATATCTGAGCATCATCACACTGCTTCTGTCTTATGAGGCAATGTTCACTCTGATTCATATCAGCAAATCACAGTTAATTACTTCTTCCTTTTCTTACCCTTTTCTTTCCTAGCTTAAGCTACCCCTTATTTTCAGCTTTAAGGAGCACATTTTCAAGGGACAAACATTCTACACCCAAACAAATAACTACCTTCCCTCCTAAATTGATAACAAATCACTCAGGAATGTATTTTATGACATTCTTTGGAGAATTTTGATTGTGATATCAATTCATTTCCTACTTAGTTGGTGGGTGATGGACGGGCCTAAATCATCAAAGTAGTCAGCAGTGGGGAAAGGCCAGTTGTAAGCTTTGTGATCACCTCGAGTCCTTTATGACATCTACACATAGCTAAAATACTGTGCAAATGCTATAACTTGGTGTGAGCATTAGGGTAGAGAAGTATTTGCATGCTATTATTACCCCCCCCATCGTTTATCAATTGTGACCCCATCCTAATAAAAATCATGTTAGACCATCTGCTTCATTTCCCATGTTCCTCAGTCTGTTCACATATGGAACCAAAAAAACAAACAAAATAGCCATGGAAACCCACCAAAGTCTAGAAGAAAATAGAATGCAGTCAGGGCATTGCTTATGATGTGGGGAAACAACAGAACCTCAGATATTTTGGAGAAATTTTACTAACAGAAATTCATCAATGTCCTGCTCTAGCAAATGACTAAACCCAATAGTGTTTACAATATGTTTATGTATATATATATATATATATATATATATATATATATATATATATATTAATGTTTACAGTATGTATATATATACACACCACCTTACCCTTCTGTCAGAGCTCGAGCTTTCTCCAAGTCTTGAATTACATTCAAAAGGACTTTAATTTTCTCTTGGTTGGAGTGTAAAGATTCCTCCACAGATTGTAGCCTGCCTTGGAGGTCGCAGAGTTCACCCCGTGCCAGGTGAATCTGGTGAATCCCCCCGATCTCCCTGTTGCCCTGAAGTTTGGCCTCCATCCTTGGAAGAAAGGACGGAAGGTGATTGCTTCCTGGACAATTTCGAATCTCTGAGGTGTCTGGCTGTGTGGGGTTCTTCCCCACCTGCTCCTGACACAAGGGGGCAAATTTTGATGCACTGTCAGGTTTGGGTGATAGGTCCTGGTGACCACTACTTGATGGACATTCTGAAGCCCCGCCTTGGTGGGCTAGCTGGCTGTGGGATTCCTGTGAAGAGCAGCGGCGAATCTGTGGAGGTGAAGCAACACACATTTCCTTTGTCCGGGATGACAATGAGCCAAGGTCCTTATCATCAGAGTCACCTTTGGGCAAAAGCAATTCAGGTGTAAGCTTCCCTGTGCCTGGAATGTGATCGGCACCGCTGGTGGCATTTAAGCAGGAGGGCAATCTTTCTGAATCTGATGACACCACTCTTCTCCCATCATCTGGACACATGTCAACCAAAGGGGATATGGAGTTGCTTATTTCAGCACACCTGTCTGGGCTGGCAGTGGACTCTCCAGCTGCCCAGGTAGGACTGTGATAAATATCATCTGGGACCTGAATGGCAGCTGTTGCCTTTTCTGAGGCTCTCCACATCCCTGCTTCCAAGCATATGCTAACTGGGCCATTGCTTTGCACCTTGGACATTTTAGGGAGAAATGGATGGGACACCTTGACCCTTCGAGGCCCATCCTCCAGATGCTGAGCCAGCCTTAAGTAAGCAAGGTCAGAAGACACAATATCCTGTTCGGAGAGGTTGCCGTTGACCTGGATGGCACTTTGGGATGCTGTTGGCATTTCTACCAGCGACTTGCTGGCTGTTAGTCTCTTCCTTTTGAACACTGGGAAATGCTTCCTGAGACTGGGGGAGGTTTGGATGGCAATGTTCCGAAAACCCCCTGCCTTCTGGGACCTGGGAAAGGAGAGCGAGTAGGTGGGAGGGTGATGGTGCCTGGGTGCTGGATTCTTGTCCATCACAGTTGGGTCGGCAGATGTTTGGACGTCAACTTCAGCTAGGCCAGGAGGAGTCTTACTGGCCCCATCTTCTTTGAATCGCACCTGCTGAGACTTGCACCTGCGGTGGTGCGGTGGTTTCACAAACTCTACGGACTCTAGGCTGTTGCGCTTTAGAAGCACAGGCCGTACTTTCATATTTTGCTGGGCCATTGAGCCTCAGTTAAAGGGACTGTACACTTCTCATGGGCACATTCCTTTAGGTCTTTGGAGCAGCATCTAATGGCGGCATCTCAGACTTAGAGATCTGACAGCCAGGATGGAGTGGTCTTCTCCTCTGAGTACAGGAAGCTCTGCCAGCCATGCCCTGCCTGTAGCTGCTCCTTAGGATCTGTCCCTAATGCTCTTAAAATATTATTTCATTGTAGTGATAATTGCTCTTTAGATAAACAATGAGTTAGGCTAATTATTAAACATTTCATCTACCAAGAGGCTGGTGTATTGTTTATCAAGGGATGTCAGCAGGCAGTTTCTTCCTGGAAGAAACTTGCTGTCTTGAACAAAAAGACAACAGAAGTACCATTTAGGGGATAGTGCCAGGCTCCCAATGAGTGAATTCCAAAAGAAACTGGCTGCATCTGGAACCTACAGCTTTCTCTCTGGAAGCATCATTATCCAGTGTTAGACCTACAGGAAACTTAAACACATCTTTCCATATACTGTAAACAGGCAGAGAAATAAAGGAGTTGGGGGTTTGCTTCTTTGATGATGCCTGATGCTCCTAATGGAATGTTCCCATTTATGTCAATCATTAATGCTTCTTTGGGGGACATTGTTTTCTTTCATGCAGTTTCTTTTCTCTTCAGTGAGGGAAGTTTATTTCCCAAATTGCCTTACAAAACCCAGTGGGGTGTAACTGGGCCAGGACAGAAGCATCTAGGGCATAGAGAGGGCAGAGTCCCCATCATGGTGTCTTGGCTGAAGTTCACTTGTGGGCAAAGAGAGCCAGGCCGCAGCCTCTGGCAATCTTCATGGAGTCTTGGGGGTTGGGGACTGACACCTGGCTGTCTTGGCCAGCAGGCAAGGAGAGGCTGAAAGGGAAGCAACCACAGTCATAATTGAGATGGCAGTTCCTATGTATTGGGCTTTCTCTCCAAATTCCCACCTCCCAGGTGAGTGCCTTTTAATGGATGGCAAACCATGTGTCAATTCCACTGCCTGCCTTCTCTTCCCCTAGTGAGCTGGGCATCTTGTGGCTGCTGGATCTTGGGCTATGGCTATCTGCATGTTTGGTTCTCTCTTTCCATTCCCAGGCCTTACCCAACCACCTCTTAATCATTCCCGAAGGCCCAGCTTCCTTGTCATTTACTTAGGTATTCCTTACATGCCTAAACTCCTACATCATTACACTGCTAGTGCTCAGCCACATCAGACCCCCCTTATACATTCTCACCACATCCTTCATCATGCACATTGCAGCTGTCCTTTGGTAATCATTTTTGTGTACATTTATTTACAATTTCCTTCACTACCCTGTGAGTTCCAGCAGGACAGAGGCCATAGTCATTTGTTCACTGCTTGGGTATTCCCAGCCTCCTTTCAGCTCACGGTGGGTGCTTAATGAGTGTGGTGGAAAGAGTGGATGATTGAATGAAGGGCAGGTATTTAGGAAGCAAAAGAGAATCTTGGTATGGTGGGTTAGGGGTGGTCTTAGAGTATCTGCAGCAATGAGGATCCCCGCTGCTATGACTGTAACATTTACCTGAGGACAAGATTCCCCCCAATGTCTTCATTTTTTAATTGCCTTTCAGAAGATAAATGTGTGTAAAATTCTCAGTGGAAAGTGTACCTTGTGATAATAGCAGTTACCACTTATTGAACACTTATTTTTACCATGCTCAGGGCTTTACATGCATTAATCATAACAACTCTCATTTACTTAGTGCTCCCTAATGTTCCAGGTGCTGTTTAAGCACTTTTCAAGCTGTAATTCACTCATTTCCTACCTTCTGGAAGTGGATACTATCTCTAACCTTATTTTACAGTTGAGAGATACCGAGGCACAGAATGGCTAAGTAACTTGCCCAAGGACTCAGAACTAGTGATAGAGACAGAGTCTGAACTTAAGCAATCTACCCCCACCCAGAGCCTGTGCTCCTTTAACTGTAAGGTCTAGGAGGTAGCCAGGGCAAGGCTGAGAGGGGACCTGAATCTGAGACTGTTACTGTCTACATACCAGGAGCCTCCTACCTTGAGCCTCCTAAAGTTTGGGAACTGCCTGCATTCCAGAAACCGAAGCATCGTTGATGAATCAGCTCCTGAAATAGCAACTTCCATGCCCTCTACAAACGCTTACTGTGTTCCCCAGCAGGTGTGACTTCTCCAATCCCCATTGGGGTTGGTGAACCTAGCTCAGGAGCGTAATAAAGTTCCTGCCTGTCAGAATTTTGCCTGACTCCATATTTTAACTGCACCAAAACTTTTTCTACCTCTGTGCTTTCCAAGATTGCATGATCTCATTAATCCTTACGTGGAGCTTATGCAACTGTCTGTCCTACTGAACTGGAGAAGAAAGCTAAGGTTCAGAGTTGGTCAGTGCTCAGCAGAAGTGTTGAGATGTGAATACACATGCTGAGATTCCAAAGTCTGGGTTCTTACTTGTGAGATTATGACTTTGTCCCCCTGGGATCTGCTTGGTGTTCAGGACAGGTATTTGAGAACAAAATATTAAGACCCCTACAGACTTAAAGAGACTTACACTGAACAGTGATCCCAATAAATCTCACTTTTAAATTCAGTTTCATGTTAGTGACTGCACAAAAGTTTTAGGTCTTGAAGAATCTGGTAACCCATCTCCTCACTCCCTGAGTAAGTCCTCATGCTCTCTGCATCACCCTCTTCAAGTTGTATGTAAGCCTGCCAGGAACCTGTAGTGCCAGTGAGCTCACTTACCTAATCTCAGAGTCAATAATCATTATTATTTTAATAGTAGCAAATATGAATTGAAAATGGACAAATATCAAGCTCTGACTTAACTAGACAGATAACTTGAAAACATCTTTTTTCATGTGCTCCCTGCTTTTCCAGAATGAGCCATTCAGACTTGTGAGGTTAAGTCACATTCCTAAAACCACACAGCGCAAACCCATACCCTGTCTGCTGTGGATTTCTTTTCCTAATTGTCCTTTACCTTATTTCTCTCTTTAGCTGTTCATTAGTGCTTCATTCCAGGAACGTTAACTCACTTAGATGACAATTGTCTGAAGCTGGTTTCTGAAAGAGCTAATGTTTAGTGATCATTGATTATGTGCCAGACTTTATTACATGTGTTTCTCATTTATTCTCTTCCTTAATCCTCATGATGATCATAAAGGCTATCAGCCACTTATTTTATAAGTGAATAAGTTGAGGCACAGAAGGTTAAGTAATTTGCTCCAAGTCACCCACCTGGTCAGTGACAGCGTGACCATGGATCACAGGCTCTTCAGTCATCATTCTGATTCTAGCCCTGCATTTTTCCCTAGGAGATATGCATATACCCTTGAGATATAGCCTTTTGTTCTTTAAAAAATATTGGTTTTTTATCTTTAAAGACATTATATGTTCATTGTAAATTTCAAATAATGTAGATAAACAAAACAACAAATGGAGTGGAGAAAGTTAACTGAAATCTCATCACCCCAAAGGAGCCATTCCTTCAGTTTGGTAAATCTCCTTCTAGACACCAAATGGTATAGCACACACGCACACACACACACACACACACATTGCATACGCATGCAGGTTTACTGAAAGGCTTTTTATTAACTGAACACCATGGAGAAAGCTCCACATATGGTTTGTAGCATCACACCATCCTTTTAAGTAGGCCTTTTAAGTAGAATTCTGTTAAGGTATATACACACCAGGATCTATATAAATAGCATCCTTTCTTAGATATTCAGGTTGTTGTAAACAGTATTATTAATAATGCCGTAAATAACATTTTTGGGGGGGGGGTAAGTGAACTTTAAGTACTTATCCAATTACTTCCTTGGAATAGATTTCTAGAAGAATTAGTGGCCCAAAGTAACCATACATATTACCGATATTACCACTTTTCCTTCCATAAAGTTCTGCTAATATACAGCCCCATTATTACTGCTTTTCCACCAGAGTATCTTTGTGCCTAGATTTGGTCAGTTTCTGATGACTTTTTTTCCATTATTGCCAATAAAATGAAAGAGAAATTGTATCTCATTTTCTTACTCTGGAATTCATTTAAGTTGGGCATTTTTCCATATTCTTATTGCTTTTATACCACATTTAGTATAGGCAAGGAGTAAAAAGGTGACGTTGACAGTTTAACAATTAAGCTAATGTGGAAACTCTTATGTTGACAATATAACTTAGGAGGTTCAGCATTTATAAAAATCTTCACTTTTAAAAATGTACCTATTTGTGTTTCAATTTATCTGCCCCATGCCCACCATGACCTTTGCACTGTTATGTCCTGAAAAGTACACCTGGCTAAAACAATGACCTTTTGGAGACCCACAGATCTCCACAGTTTCCCAGCTGACCATTAATTGATAGTGAGTTTTCTGAATCCCAGTGTCTAGGGCTCAATTAATATCCTGGACAGAATCCAGAATCACTACCCAGAGATGACTGCAGCTTCCTGTTGAATGCCCAGAAACTAGCTGGAAGTTATTGCTGATCTTTACAATGCTTTTTCCTCCTCCCTTGATTACAGGCTTATTGAACATGAACTAAAAATTTATGTCCTTGTCACTCTTTTTTGTCTATGTTGAATAGTTCTTATGGAATCTATGTCCACTGAGTAGGTACAAAACCATTTCGTATCCTCTCTGAAGATCACAAACTTTAGACCTCTCAGTTTTCTCTAGAATATATGTAGTCTATAGAGTGTAGAGTTATGTGCATAGGCTTTAATTTACAGTTAGCTTAGATTGGAATTTTCTGTTTTCTAAATATTGGAACAACTAAGTTGGCCTTTGCAAAACCACATAGAGCTGTGAGGATTGCATGAGGCAATCTCTGTCAAAATAGTTAGTATGATCAATGTTGGCTTATTGGATAGAATCCACCTGAAGATTGTGAGAAACTCATGAGTGTATCTTGGTACATGTAAGTTTCCTGGGGAGAGTGAGGTGTAGGAGGAGTGTACAAAGATGGCATGCTCAAGAATCTGCCCATCTTCCAGCCATCTACATTCTTCATGTGCCACTTTGACATTAAGTTTGTCTTCCTGGAAAGAGATTACCTGCTGACCCTCAGCCTCTTCAATTAGACTACAAGCTCCTTGAAAGCAGAGAGCAGATAAGGTCTACTCTGAATCCCAAGTCCTTACCCCCATCCTGGCCCAGAGCAGTTAATAGGTGAATTTGTCAAAGGAATGAATATAATTCAATATTACCTCACTTGCCTTAGCTTCAAAGACATTAAATAGTGTATAGTTGGCGTGTAATAAAAATTTGTATAGCTAATTAAGAGCAAATTAATTCACTTCCAAGTTGCTCTCCATTTTGATTTTAGTTATCAGTTGTATACCATCAAAAGGTCTTTGGAATGAATGAAATGTTTCTGTTTTTAATATATAATGCTTGCTCTATTTATGATTCAGATTTAACTTGATTAAATTTTATTGAAAACCTGTTATTACTTGGGCACTATATAAAAATTGTGAAGGTTATAAAAAGAACTTAGGACCTGATCCTTATTGTATCACTAAAAGGGGACTTTGTAAAGCCACCTCTTGTGGAATCA